GACTGTATGGATTTATGCGCAATATTAGACTGGCGGTGAGATCTCATCGGTTTACAGTTGAGCTGGCTAGATGTAGCCGTAACTTATATGATAACAGATTCATATCTTGCACTTCTCGCTCATGGAACTCCCTTCGGGCTCCATGCTTTCCAATCAAATTTAATCTGCAAAAGTTTAAATGCAATGCAATGTCAATCACTATCTACTGCCCTCCTGAATGTTCTTTTATCTTTCTACTCATTACTAATGTTTCTGTTCCTAATTTATCCATACCCTCTAACCCATTGCTTGGTTCTGGCTCTGCTGTCTTGTTTGAGGTGATACCGATTACAAAATATACTTTATTTGTAGGCTGTTAATATTTTATTATTTACTATTTTATTTTTTTATTTACTAATTTTACGATTTTTATTCATTTCTTCCGAAGCTGGGTTTTCTTATTTGTTTAATTTAAAGTGCTGGCTTTGTGTACATTATTTGATTTGTATATAGTGTATATATTTGCATTTTTTTATTGTGGTATTTTACAAAATATATATATATGGCTAGCCTCTCGTATCCGAGGATGTCGGTCTACAACAGTAGCTAGCCAATTTCTACTCAGGAACATTTGTGTTTGTTCAACACCCACAGAGCCCATCTGTGATTTATACTGAAGCTATGCTGATCAGATCTTAGTTACAGTTTCTGCGAGAGAGAGCGTGTTATCTTGCAGATCAACAGTCTGAACAAGGCCCGTACGCTGAGACACTCGTGTTAGAATAACCATCAACGGCTCTCAAAGAGTTCTGACGAACCAAATTATTCTATCGTAAACCTTTAGACGTAATAACTCAAAAACGAAGGATGTGCAGACATATGTTTATATAGACTTTTGTCCTTGGTTTGGTGTGAGGAACCCGCCCCCAAAGTCTGTAAAAATATTTTTGATACACCCTGTATGTGTACATGCTGGTTGTTGCTCGTTAAACGAGTATGATCATAACTGACAAATTTGATCAGCGATTTTGGTTCTCGCGAGAACGACAATGGCTTCAAGCCAGCAAGTGACTTATTACAGATATGGCAAACTAACGCAGATAAACAGTTGCTCCAAGCAAAACGATTACTTAACAAGTTGAAACATCAAGACATGTTCTGTTTTTTTTGGTTTTTGTTTTCAGGTGAAAAGAATTCCGATCAACATCCAAAAGTGAAGACGAGAAAAGACAGATATAAATGACACACATACATACGCACACAAAACAAGACATGTACACACAAAAGCAACAACACACACACACACACACACACGCATAAAAAAGTAATAAAAAAAAAAAAAAAAAACAACACACACAAACTCTATATTTCTGAGATGAGGTATTGTAACTATTTACACTATTTACATCGTTCGGACTGTTGTCCTCATCTTTGTTGTCATATTCACGACGTTTTGGCCGTTGTACGCTCCAGCCTTCTTCCAACGTTTCGACGGTTGAATCCTTTCGATCCAGGTAACCTACTGGAAATTCTGAACTTATCCCTTTATTTAATCTACAGGAGTAGATGGTTCTCGTTCCACTGCCCATTTATAGGGATATGTCGTCTATTTTTTTTAATTACTGCTCAGTTATTACTCACCGTGTTTCCATTAAGTCCAATTACACACTACACAGCCTAATGATCGAACTCATATTTACTATATCACCATATCCCCGAACCAACGGTTTAATCCACTGGGACTATATTTTGTGCAGAACTTGGAGATTTAAACCTAACCTACCCGCTGATGATTGCTGTCACAGCTGTTTTATCATGATTGATTGCTCTTACTGAAACATTTCTCTTTTGCTACAGCTGCTGTAATAAAAGTTTCATTGATTATAATATTCTATACTAGGCTTAAAATGAGATAACACGCACACACACATATGCGTATGTTTTGTTTCCATGCTTACAAATGCGTACGCTCAAGAGTTTCCCTAACTTTTTCAGACGCGGCACCCTTCTGGGTTCAGAAATTTTGAGGGAAATCCCAGAAACTAATACGTTTGTATGGTCGAATATAAATATTTTCATATGTTTTTATAAATAATAAGTACGTTCAAAAAAGCAATTAAAAAATACGTATTGATATATTTTTTAATAAAAATGTGATTTTTTAAATTTTCATACTTTCCAACAGTAACATAAGCTTACGGTCAAATCACGCTGAAACACCGGTTCTCGTACGATCACCGAAGTTAAGCAGCGTAGAGCCAGGTCAGTACTTAGATGGGGGACCGCTTGGGAACACCTGGTACTGTAAGCCCCCAAAGTCCAACCCTTACCTCACAGTCGGTGGGGGGGGTAGTAAACGGTAGTGTCAGAGCTATGCCGCCCGGAACTTCGTTCCTGGTAGGGCCACCCAAGGCGGACAGGTCTGACACACACGCCGGCTAACAAGGGCTCTGGTGAGAATCCAAGGAGCGTCTGCATCGTTAACCAGCGGCTTCTGGTCGTTCCTGTCTCTGCGTCTGTGGGAACCCCGCGGCAAGCAAGAACGTTATCCGAGTAGGCCTGGGTACCCTACTTCTGTAATTTATCCCAAGAATCTTCTTATCATAATAGGAAGAAGCCGGCTCAATCTGCCCAGGGTGAATGCCGCATCAGTACAGTACAGTACAACAGTAACATGTGGAACAAATTACGAACAATGTTAATACAGTATTTATTTCATACGTAATCAGAAATTTTTTTGAAAAATTCAATTAGTACAATGTTTCTGTTACCTACTGTTACATCATTTTTATTGTTTGGCTTTTTACATGAGGGTTTGATTCTCAAGTCAGCAGAATAAAGTCTACTTCGCTATTTAGATTTTATGACAGTGTAATAGGAAAATCCACATTCACATAAGTAGATTGGTGTTTTTTTTGTTTTTTTTTTGTTTTAACCGGAATGTATACACACGAAAGTTACACTGATGAGAGTCAATTAACGCAGCCAGAGTTTTTTCGAGTATAGCGAGAAAATTAACTTTCAGATTTATGTGGTGTCACAGTACACAAATGATATCACAATCAGTAACTACTTTTCAATTCAGCAATAGCATGATACAATTATTACTCACTGATATATGATATAGAAAAGTATTACAAGATACATTACAACATCATAGAAGAATCTAAATCTGTTGGTAACTATTTTTTTTTAGAAATTATTTACCAACATTTATTACTCTGAACTTTGGTCACGGAACTCCAGACACCCCTTTACGGAACACCTGGGTTCCTCGAAACCCACTTTAAGAACCTCTGTACTAGGCTATTGTCCCGGAGGAAAATTCACTGTGGAGAACTTGGAGACTTAAACCTCTCCTACGTGCTGATTAGTGTTACTACTGCGGTTTTTCATGCTTCACTACATTCACTGAAGCTTTTCCCTTTTGTTACAGCTGCTGCCGTTCTTGAAGGCTTGCTGGCATTTGTCTTTCTGTATTTATTGGCGGCTCCAATATCGTATATTTTGCCGTACAGAAAAATGAAACGAAAAATGACGTGAAATCCCCAGACGTAGACTTAATGATGGCTGAAAGGCACAAAGATTATTGGTTCCAGTTTATGGAAATGATCACAAAAACTCCCCCTCTCCAGTTTTATAGATAAAATACAGGGATGCACGCTGGAATTACATTTCAAACTAAGATAGGCCACTTCTCGGTCTCATCAAACATAGATCTGTTCTTGTCTTGAAGCCAAATCGCTGCGATCGCTTGTCTGTATCCCCTTTTTCTTAGGCTGTAAACTTTTTGACTTATTACTGTTGTTTTGCCTTGCATATATTGTTTACTTGCTTGATATTATTTTTGTCCTTTTCTTTACTTTCCCTTGTTATTGTTTATTTGCATTTAACCATAGCGAGTTTCTCTACAAAGGCGAAAACATTATGATAACTACAACAAAGATGAGGACAATAGTCCGCATGTAAACAGGGTAAACAAAGTAGGTTATATTTACCATGTTATTTTCTGTCTTGCGAAATAGGGAAAGAAAAATTAACAGCCAACTGATCCCGGTTGATTTATGAAATTAAACGTGTACCCTACAACACGGCAAATGTCGATCTAACACCAATTATTTCCCGCCATTTCTTGCGATCTTCGGCGAGTTTATTTAGTTTCTGCCATTCATCAGTTGATAACCACAGAATTATGTCATCCCAACTATCTCCGTTGTGATTGTTCTTTGCTTCCTTTTCCAGGCACCACACCTTCAAACCAAAATATCGCGAGTCCTGTACTAGATCTGTTAATGGTGATTTTCTAAGCATAGCTTAGAACACGACCGAAAGTATGGGGCACCCAGTGAGAATCACTATTCATTTATAACTGATCTCGCGCAGCCAGCTTGCTAATCATTACACGACGTCGAAGTGCCCGCACTAGATCTATTAATGTGTTTAAATAAATTCAAAAACATGGGCCATTCAGTGAGTAATTATTCAGTCGTAATTGATCAGTTAATGTGTTTAAATACTTCCAAGGTTTTTTTACGGATGGTGTCGAAACAGATTGGCTACTCTGGGTATGGTACTGGATAACAAAACTAACACGTTGAACGTTTCCTTTCAAGACGAAGCGAGCATTTGTGAAATTCTTATTAAAAGCCAATTCAGATAAATTTTCTGGCAGTGATGGAGCAATAAACATTAAAATATTACCAAACTGTTACTCAAGTATCTATTATTGAAATAAATATTTCTAAAATTGAAATAGATTTCTAGAATTGAAATAAATATTTCTAGAATTGAATAAATATTTCTAGAATTGAATTCATTCTCTTTGATTTGTTGTGAACTTCTGAAATACATGCGGTATTCAATAATGAAACCTTTTTTGTGTCTCATTTATTCTGTACGATATAAAACCGACGTACATTTAGTTTGATGAAGAAATATACACTGACCAATGTTGAAATAATTTCGACCTTCTTCCATTTTTATCTAATTAAATGATTTTGATAGAAGCTTGCGTATATTATATGCATATCACACCCTCTCTCAAATTATCTATTTCAGTTCATTATCTATCTATCTATCTATCTATCTATCTATCTATCTATCTATTTGTTCATCATTTATCTATTTATCTCATTATGTTGTTCCTATCTATATATCTACCACATTCTGTTTCTCTCTCACTCTCTCTCTCTCTCTCTCTCTCTCTCTCTCTATATATATATATATATATATATATATATATATATATATATATAACTCGCGATGGATAAATTGTAGTCTGAATTACGCAAAAATGAAAATAATGCTGATCTTTCATTTTAACAGGTATATTTACCAAAATTACACAAAAATATCTTGAACTACTAAAATGTAAATTTATTCAATAAAATGGCCATTGGCTTCAATCACGGGCTCCAGAAAACTTGGGAATCTCCTGCACCTTTTCTGGACGGCCTCCTTGTTTAAGTTGGTTAATGCTGCCATGATACTTACCTTCAGTTCATCTTTAGTGTTAGAAGGAGTTTTTGTCTCTTGCTTAACTGTTCCACGCGCATAATAATCAAGGGGGTTGCAGTCTAAGGAGTTAGGTGGTCACATGTAAGTGGTGATGTAGTCAAAGAAATTGTCTGACAGCCTTGACTGGGTTCTCCTGCTTGTGTGGCATGGTGCATAATCCTGTTGACAGACATAGGGTTTTCCAGCAGCCACCCTCTTGATCCAGGGTAGTATTACCTCCTCAAGGCACTTGATGTAGTCTTCCATGTTGAGTCTGAGGCCTTTACCAGCAAATCCGGGAGTTCTTTTCTGATCAGAACGCTCAGAGTGAGTTTTCCGAGCAGCCGTACCTTTGTAATTATTATTGGAGCCAACTCTTTCCGAATCCTCTGCACTGTCCACAGATTGAGACCCAGACACGCTGAAATGTTCGTGTTGGAACTTCCAACGCGAATGCCAAGCAGTAAAACATGTGGTTTGCAAATTTCTATTAGAGTGAACTTTTTCTCACACGGTGCCCAACTGACCCTACTAGACTGTGCAGTCAACAAAATCAAAAAGAAACAACGCGCATGCGCGAAATTAAAAATATGATATGGCGACAATTTGCCCATCGCAATCTGTAAGCTAATCATTACTGCATCTGTGTACCAAGTTTTGTTTCAGTAAACTTAGTTGTTAGTAAGATATGTTATTTTCTTACGGTCTTTAATGTGTCCTCAAATGTCTTACGTACCCCGTATAATTGAATTAAATATAATTGTAATTTCGTTTTTAAAAAATGAATTTGTTTAAAAAAGAGGAGATTAGTTATGATTCAATGTAATACCTTATAATTATTTTTTTTTAGATATATGAAAAAGAAAAGGAAAAGAAAAAATTAGCGCATCAGTTTAAACTGACGCCAGGAGGAAATAAATTAATGTCGATTTTTTTATGTTAGGCAAGTCGAGTTAAATTAGACTTAGGTTTTGATTAGGTTAGACTGTATGATTTAACTTTTTAGTTTATATCTGTAAAGCTAAGATTAATTTGTAGCAACAAAACCTTGCAAGATTCAGCACTTCTTTTAGTCAGGGAGGCCTAGTTTAATTCGAACTTTCTGTCGGTAACGAGTAGTTACGTGCAGGTTTTTTTTTATTTATTTTAGGAAGGTATACTTAACGTTCCTTTACATCCGGAAGGCCTCATTAAAATTGGCGTTCGTTTATGTCAAGATGGCCGAGTTAAATTTCAATCATTAATCAGATTGTAGACAATTTATCTTGAAGACAATCTTTAATTTGGTCTTTTTCTTTATTTTATTTCAATCATTTTTTCCTATTTATTGTTTTCTTTGTCATTACGTCTGTATTTTTTACGATAATCTCATCTTAGAGTTGTTTTTTTTCTTACCTTTCTTTCGTTTTTTTTTAATTGTTGTTCTTATGTTTTCTTTCTGTAAATAATCTTTTTATGTCACATTTTTCTTTCTTTGTTTCTTTCTTTCTCTCATTTCATTACCCTTTCTTTCTTTCCATCTTTCTTTCTTTTCAGAACTCTTATTTTTCTTCCCATCGTTCTTTCTTTCTTTTTTCTTTCCGTCTTTCTTCCTTTCTTTCCATTACACTTTTCTTCCTTTCCGTCTTTCATTCTTTTTTACTTTCTTTTTATTGCCCTTCTTTCTTTCTTTCTTTCTTTTTTTCTTTCTTTCTTTGTTTCTTTGTTTCTTTGTTTCTTTCTTTCTATTGCTCTTTTCTCTCTTCCCTTCCTTGTTTGTTTGTTTGTTTCTTTCTTTCTTTTGTCTTTTCTTTTCATTATTCTTCTCTTTCTTCCCATCTTTCTTTTCATTACTTTTGGGTTTATTCTCATCTTTCTTTCTTTCTTTCTTTTGTCTTTTCTTTTCATTATTCTTCTCTTTCTTTCCATCTTTCTTTTCATTACTTTTCGGTTTCTTCCCATCTTTCTTTCTTTCTTTCTTTCTTTCTTTCTTTTAACTCCAAGCAAAACGATGGAGCTACCAAGATGCAAGGTGGTTACTGTGGTGAAAGAAAACATTATTGAGGAGAAAGTATAGTAAAAGGACAGGATTCAGAAAGACAGCAGATGCAAATTCACAGAGAATTTAAATTTTTGAAGATTGTCGTTTATAAGAAAGCAAGAAGGCGGAAGCGAGTTCCACGGGGGAGTAGTGCGAGAGAAGAAACTATTAGAATATTTTCAATTCACTGTCACCTTTCAAAATCACACCATGAAGTTTATGGTAAACCGAAGATAGCCAGAGCCGATTAAAATCGAGTTTCTTTAGATAACTAAACTTGTAGAGATTATGTCCGGCATTCAAAGCAAGACTTTATAAATACACGATCACATAAAACGCACTAAGTCAGGTCTTTCCTAAGATTGCTTTAAAAACCTTCACGGTATGAACACGCCATGCCACTTACATTGTAGCAAATCACCCGCATTCCTACAGTATCCCATCGGTGAGAATAAGTTTCACTCGAGCAGCTTCTTTCTTGGAACCACTGCCCTGTGGAAACGACTCCCAACAGGATTTTTCGAGATCACTACAATCTTAACCTATTCAAGGCTAGGGTTAATCGTTATCTCCCTAACCTGTACACACAAATGGCCTAATAATGTAAGCCTCTACCTCGAGAGCCAGCGGGCCTTGTAAAGGGTGACTCTCACAGTAAAAATAAAATAAAACAAAACAACAACAACAACAGCAACAACAACAACAAAACGGTTATGATAATCGACAAAAGAAGTAGAAGTTAGAAAACAAATCAATGACCTGCAGGGTGCATAAATGAACCGGTCTTTAGAGTAACAGAGTTAATAGGGCCACTCAAAGTCGAGCTTTCTGAAAAGAACATCACAGATTAATGCGTATTCTGCCGTGGGGTGAGATAGCGAAAGATGATGATGGGAGGCGGGGAAAGATTTTAATTATTTGAAAATAATATGAAGTAATAATTATCTTTTTCATTTCATCCCAAGCGAGGCTATAAAGGTACTAAGACACAAGGGGTTATTGAACGTGAAAGAATAAGAGAAAAATAAAGAAAAATAAAACAACAGGAATTCAAGAGACAGAAGACAACGATTAACACAACATTAAAATATTTGAAAATCACATTTAACTTAAAAACAAGAAGTCGGAAGAGAGTTCCACCGGCTGGAGGTGTGAAAAAAATTATTTGAGTAGAACTTACGGTTGCGTCAGCTGTAAAATGATGAGACCTAATTTGCCAAGTACTACGCTGTCGGTGTAACAAAGAGGAAAGCTCATCAGTAAAATTGCGATGTCAGGACAGGATCGATGACATTGCAGATTCTTCAAAGTAGTTTTCAAAAACGTTCTTTTCCTCCTTTTATATGCTGTTTCTCTTCTATTATAAGCAAATATTCTTTCCATTCCGGTCTTCTTTAAAACACATCTTCTGTTCATTCTCAAAATCCTTCTGTAGAACCTCATGTCTGTTGTCTCGAGTTTTATCTTCATTCAAGGCTCACGGACATATCACGTTGAAACATCTGTTCTCGTACGATCATTGAAATTAAATAACGTCAAACCTGGTTAGTACCTAGATAGGTGACCACTTGGAAATACCAACTTTCATTTTGCGATTCGATAATAAAGACTGAATCAGGTGCAAATATTCATCCAGAAATCCTATAATCTGTGCTGAACAGTCAAATGCCTTCTAGATATCCAAAACAACAATTAGAGCTTCACAATTCTTATTTAAATCTTTATATACTCATTTAGTAATAATCGTTAAGACATCAGCAGCTGACTTAGGGAAGCGAAAGTAATATTGGTTACCCGAAAGAAGACACTGCGATGTGACATGCTTAATCAATTAAGAGTTAACTGGAGCCTGCATTAATACAAAAAAGATCTAGAAGAATGGCCGTTCGAGACAACATTCATTTTGCAAGTTCGATAAGTAAGACCAAATAAGTTCAAAAGTTCGTTGCCCTGAAACTGAGAAAAGCGCACAGAATACTTAAAACAAAAATAACTTACACAGCTAACGGACAATTCTCAGGTGATCTCAGTCTCCCTCCTTCCAATACAAACTGCATCACTTCATGGTTCGCTTGACCCGGGTAAGGATTACTGGCCATCGAAAAGATCTCCCATAAGGTAATTCCGTAAGCCCTGTTATATAAGAAAATAGAAAAATGTTTTAACGCTTAAAGAACTTCAAAGATTAGTGCGTATTCTGCCGTGGGGTGAGATAGCGAAAGATGATGATGAGAGGCGGGGAAAAATTTTAATTATTTGAAAATAATATGAAGTAATAATTATCTTTTTCATTTCATCCCAAGCGAGGCTATAAAGGTACTAAGATACAAGGGGTTATTGAACGTGAAAGAATAAGAGAAAAATAAAGCTTTCGTGTTTGTGTTTACACACCCCTCATGTACACACACACACACACACACACACACACACACACACACACACACACACACACACACACACACACACACACACACACAAAATCCTGTGCATGATGATAAACTACATCTGGTAGCAAGGCCTCTGATCGGGAGATTGGAGGTTTTGAGGAGCGTGGAAAACCCTTTTATTTGCAGTTCCCACGTTCACCATAACCGGGGTGGTAGCACCTGTTAGGGTCCAAGCTATGGTCAAATAGTGAACCCTCACAAAAACAAAACACTATGAAAGTATAAAAATGCATTTTTTAAATAGAATTACCAACAATGCATATTTATAGCAAAATGGCCAGCAGTATATTGTATAGTTGCGTTACTAACAATACATTCTATCTGTAGTTGAAGGAATACAACTGCATTCAAAATATATTTAGTTGAAGCAACAAAATTGTATTCTAAATATTTAGATTTCGGCAGTAATTAACCCATAGAGGATGATATGTCGCTAAACAAAATCAACCAAACAACCAACAGGAAAAACTCTATCATGCCATTGATCCATATAATATCCTATACTTTCGTAAAGAAATCAAACTGTATTTCAAAATATAACTTCAAAAAAAAAAAACAAAAAACAAACAAACAAAAAAACAAACAAAAAAACACAAACAAAAAATTAAAAAAAAAACTACAACATAAAACACATATTTCCGCCTCTAGTAATTATGTCCACACAAACATCTATATGAACAAAAACTGAGCATCATCTACCATAAATTCAATTGTGAAAGCAGAATAACATATATCATATTTTTATTACTTCAAAGCTCCAATGAAAATTAGATTTCGGTATTAAATGACCTATAAGGAGTTTATATGACATTAAACAAAAAAACAAAACAAAAAAAAACAAAGAAACAGACATACACAGACATACAAGCGAGAAGTGCGATAGAAGAAACTGTTGGCATAGAACTTACGGTTACATCTAACGAAAAGGGACTTAGATAAACAGGACATATTGATGGCACGAATGTAGCGAATAAGCTATCAAACGAGCCCGTGAAAATGTTTGGTGGAGCAGGAATTTAGAGAGATAGCAAAAAGACATTTACTAAGAAATATACAGGATAAGAAGTTGTGGAGAACCATGGTCGCCCACGTCCCGAAAAGATATTGTACATAGAAGATGAACTTGCTTGTAAAATCCTAAGATACATATGTGAAGTATCTAAAAAAAAGTTGTGTATTTTCTAAGTCTTTGACATTTATCCTTTGTTTCTTGTTTAGGATTCTTTCGTCTTAGTGGCATTATTGATGTTTTTAATGTTTTTGATAACTTCTCGCTCTTCCTTGGAGGTCTGTTCAAGGAAGGGCGAGAAGTGGTCGGTCCAAAACAGTACAAACAGATGTAAATGTGGACAGAGTGTTACTCTTGGCGTGTTTGAATCGAAAATTAAGCGTGCAGCTGATAGCAGAAGCACAGAAGACAAATAGGGTAACGGTGTGACTGATTCTAACATTTTCGAATGAGAAGTGAATAGTGCGTTTGGAGTTCAGGAGTTCCTGGCTAAGAAATCCAATAACAAAAATGAATCGTCCATTTTAGTCATCAGATATCACCTCTAATATTTTTGACATTCAACAACACGTGGCAACATTTCTGAAAGATATTCCGGAAAATGAGTTCCAAGAAAGTTTCCAGCAGCCGCAACATCAACTCAGGAAAAGCGAGCAGAGTTTTTTTTAGGAATATTTATCGAAAATTTGGGAATGAACGAACAAAATCAAAGAGACAAACGAATAATATTTGTTTATATAAAAGGCCGGATGTGTATGTAGTTTGCGGCCATTTTCTACTGGCCAGAGTGAGAGCCGCGAATAGGCAGGAAGATTCTATTAGCCAGCGTGAGAGCTAACAGCTGACTGACATGAATGTTAACTAGCATGCTAGCATGCAAAAAAAATCGATAGCTGCGTTCGTCACAAGTGGGAAAAATTTAAATCTGCATGGCACTTTATTCCAATTGGCTCATTCGCTTGCTTAAACTCAACGTTGATTCTGATTCCGCAGAACTGGTTGGGTGTGAGAAAGTGTTTGTTATTAACATTCTTTTTTCACTCGGTTTTTCCAGTTACGAGTCCTTTTCGTTTTGTGTTCATTTTGTTTAGTTCTTTTTTCGTAACAGATTTAACGTTTAGTATAGAGCTTAGAAAAAATTCGCAGTATGAGATAGGCAAGAAGTAAGGCATGTAGCAATATCAGCACGGCAAAGGGCACTCCTTTAAAGGCAAGGAAGGGCAAAAATATTTTAAGTCAAGTGATAGCAACTTTTGTATGTATAGTCGTACGATTTTTTTTTTATGTTGGCCGAAACTTGGTTTCGGCCAACATAAAAAAAAATCTCTTTGTTCTTTTAATCGGCCCAAATCATTTTATTTATTTTTAGGTGTTCCTTTATTTGTCGTTTTTATCGCGTAAGTTATGCGTGGAGCCTCCCAAATTTCTGTAGTTTTGTAATCACAATAAGTAGGCCCCGAACCAGAGAACTTCCGTTTCGCAGTAGTTGGTCAGTTTCTT